ACGGGCTCTTGTCCCCATCTTACATGCTTCATTGCTGCCAGCTCCTCATTGAATCAAGGAGCTGATTTGCAATGCAGAAGGGGATATTCTGGAGCAATTGTGTATATTGCCCTAGTCATCTCCCTATTTGCATATTTGCAAAGAAGAGAGAAAGAAAATAATGAACAGGCTGATAAGCTCGTTGTAATTGTCAAAATGAAGTCTCCCATCTTTAAAGAAAAAAAAAGGCAGCCATGAAATTTGTGTCATTATAACAATGGATATAAAGTGTTCAGAGACCCAATCTGTGTGTGCCACCCAGAGAATGTTTGCAATACCTGTCCCTAGAAATCCCATTTCTCATATAATTGCCATGTGTTGGGAATGTTATGAGATTAAAATACCATGAGCCAATGATGACCTCCAGAAAATGTATTAATATCTCCATCCATAAGAATTAGTATGCCCATATACCATAAAGAAGGAGTGAGGAACCAGTTCTTGCTAGATGTTGCCGGACTACAATTCTCTCTGTCCCAGGGCTGATGAGAACAGAGGTGCAACCGCATTTGGAGGCTTGCCTTCTCCTGTCATAGAAGAAATATTTACAAGGCATCCTATCCCATGGTGTTAAATTAAATTATGAACTCAAATAGGGATGGGCAGTGATGGCCATCAACATTTATTGGACTGCTCAATTAGAGAAAATATGTTTAAAATGTTTTACAGAACCTACATAACTCCAGAGTTACTAGCTAAAATAGAGAAAACAGTAAAAGGCGAAAGATTTATACGATCTGAAGAGAAACCAGAGTTAAAGAATTCTGGAAAAAAAGTGGCAAAAGAAACAAACAAAATGATTAGCAAAAAAAAATCATGAAAACCCCAGAAATGTGCTTATTAGTAGGGCTGGGCGGTTTCATTTCGTAATTTCGTAATTCGTTAAAAATTCGTTATTTTTTTGATAACGAAGCGATTTTGAACCATTCAGGAGCATCTGAAAAACGAAACGAATTTTTCATTTCGTTTCGTAATTGCTTTGTATTCATTTCGTATTTGTTTCGAAATCGTTTCGAAATCGTTTCGTTATTATTTCCGCATGTCTGGGGCAAGTTTTACAGCTGTTGTTTGTTTAATTAGTGAAAAAAATTTATAAATATCACACCAACAGTCAACAACAGAGGGAGAGGGAAGCTTCAAAAGTTCCCCCTGTCCCATATGGAGGTTTTTTAGCGTATTGCGCGGTCGCGTCCGCCATTAACGAATCGATTCGTATTCGTTTCGAAATCGTAAATTTCGTAAATATCGAACTTTTTAAAAGAAAAATTTCGGAATTCATTTAAATATCGAAATGCAAAAAACCCCAAAAAATGAATCGAGTTTAGAAACAAATTTTTCTGTGGTTGCCCAGCCCTACTTATTAGGAATATTTAGAAGGTGTATTAGCGCAGGAGATGAAGAAATTTGTCAGTATTGTTTTGTCGCTACGAGACTAATAATAGCTAAAACATGGAAGGGGGAAGAAGAGTTAACTCTTAAGGATTGGAGAGATAAATTAGTAGGTTATATCCAAATGACCAAACTGACAAATAGCAGCAGAGGAGGAAATAATGAAGAATTTGTTAAAAAATGGAGGTTGGCAATTGGATATCTCGAAAAGAAGACAAAAGTAGATTTGAAGATCGCCATAAAGGGGATTTAGTGAAAGAAGACATGTGGGTAGTTTTGGGTTAGTTATGTGATCCATAAGGAGAGTTGTCGGAGGTCATGGGGATTGGGTTCACGGGTGTGGGGTTAGAGGGACAATAAATGTTAAGGTATAATAGCTGTACAGTCAAAGTTGATTTTTCATATGTTTAACGAGCGCTGACTGTATACCAACTTGCATACTCTTTTGTATATCTTTTTTTCTTTTCTGGGTTTTTTCCCCCCTCTGTCGGTTTTGTTTCCTGTGTGCACTATAAACCAATAAAAAATAATTTAAAAAATTATTTGACTGCAGTTCTAATTAGCTGTCACTGTTGACGGGATGGGCAGTCTAATAACATCTGGGAAACACATATTCTTCATGCATGCATCAGGCACAATAAAGTGACTACTATGTCATATTGGGTGACAAAAAAGGGCAAGGAAGATTTAGTTATTTCATATGTTATATTTTATATTTAGTGTCCGGAAGAGGGAGAAGCACATGTAAAATTTCCTGCCTTGTGTGCCAAAATACTTCATCTTGTTCTCAGTACTATGTATCTTTCCTTAGATCAATGGGAAGACCATTTACTGCTCTTCATCAGGCGGCAGGAGCCCCTGGTGGCGGAATGGGTTAAACCCTTGTACTGGCAGGACTGCTGACTGAAAGGTTGGTGGTTCGAAACTTCAAGTCACTTCTGGTGTGAGAGAATTGGCTGTCTGCAAGGACATTGCCCAGGGGATGCCCAGATGTTTTGATGTTTTACCATCCTTGTGGGAGACTTCTCTCATGTCCCCTTATGGGGAGCCAGGGCTGACAGAGGGAGCCCATCCCCACTCTTCCCGGATTCCAACCTGCAACTTGTCGGTCTTCAATCCATTGCACCACCGGGTGCTCCATGGCTTAGAAAATGATTTATGAACAATGAGACTTACAATGAAGACACTGGTTTATATGTTTTATTGAATGTAATTTAATTCTGTTAACTGTATATTGCTAGGCATCAAATTGCTGCCTGGTTGTAAGCTGCCCTGAGTCATCTTCGGATTTGAGAAAGGCAGGATAAAATATCATAAATAAATAAATAAATCTATGTATATAATAAAAGTCAAAGTTTGTATGCGGCGAACGGAAGTGTAGCGGTGCGACTGGGTATGTGCCAGCTTTCTGATTGGCTGCCACTGTGGTGCTATTTGCATATGGTCTCTGATTGGCCAGCCTGAAAGTTCCAAGATTCCGATTGGCTGCCACTGTGGTACGATTTGCATATGGTCTCTGATTGGCCAGCTCCAACAGGAGCCCCTGGTGGAGAAAAGGGTTCATGACAGAAACGGAGACATAAGAGAAGGAAATTTGCATATGGTCTCTGATTGGCCAGCCTCAATTCCAAGATTCCGAGATGACAAAGAGAGGAAAGGAAAAGGCCAGGGGCTGAGTCAGAAAATTACCAATACAGACCAAACTTGGCACACAGAGCCCCCATGACCCACTCTACATCCTACTGCAGTTTGGAGGAGGATGAACCATGGATGATGGGACTTGCAGTACCATCACTCACATTCTGAGACCGCTGTTAACCTCATCCAAGGACTGATCAGGACCAAACTTGGCACATAGACCTCTCATGACCCACTTTATGTCCTGGTGTGGTTTGGCTGGAGATGGACCATGAATTATGGGACTTGCAGTACTGTTGCTCAATTCTTGAGACCACTGCAACCCTCATCCAATTACCGATAAAGACCAAACTTGGCACACTGAGTC